TCTGAATAAAAATTGTAGCCAGATGGGTTAGCTTTCAGACGCATTTTGAGTTGTGGCCAATGATGCGCCTCCCAATAAGAATAGACCGACGATCGAAAGAGCAGTCTATGAGCCTCAATCAACAGAGCAGTCTATGAGCCTCAATCTCATTGTCATTTTTGCCATTTGCTACAACATGTAACCACTCAATGCATAAATTCTCACAGAAAAACATACATACATTTCTTTAGAAACATTAAACTTTGGCAGCCATTTTTTGTGGTGTACTGATAAAAACCTGAAGCACATTTATATTAATAGCAAAGCTTTCTCAGGAAATGCAAATTAGATATTTATTGAGCCAACCTCTGTAAAATGTCATTATCTGGCAGCTCAAAATCATCAAGATCAAATGTCTCTGGCAATGTGATGGAGTGATATGGTGCCTTTGACTCTTCAGGAAGTAAATCAACAGCAGCAGAGCGAAATGTTTGCTTGACCTTGAGCAAAGCCTCGCTGCAATCATCGAAGATGTAGTTCACCTTTCTAGAGTATATCCTTACCACACCAAGCAAAAGATGGCTAGAAAATCGAAGCGCAATTGGAACATCGGGAAAAAGAATTGAGTCTGTAGAATATAAGCAGGTTAAGTTAAAAGAGCAAAAGACCACTCTTTTCATAGGAAAATTTTAAATACACAGAAAACAGATAAGAAGTAACATGTAAATATTAATTCCACCATGTTGAAATGTCGATACCAGATAATAAACTGAAAGGCGCTTGAAGATAATGGAAAACCTAGCACGTCTCCTCTTTTTTTTTTTCTAAATAAAATTAATATTTGAATGTGCATACCAACTGAAAGTATATCACTCCATCATAATCGTCTCCAGGTGCATTGCTTTCAATCATCTGCTACGAAAATCAACAAACAAATTACATTAGTTACTACCAGAACTTTGAGCAGGAAGTAGAAAAACAAAGAAAGAAAAGAGAAGTACAAGTGCTTTTTGCACCACAAGCAAAGTGGAGGTACATCAAGAATATAGCAATCATAACTGGATCATAAGCCTCTTCATGAGAATCCATTGAATGCATAATTCAGCTATACTACAGAAGGCATGAAGGCAAATAAAAATCATCTGATAATGCATTTACATCTCCAACGGCAAGAAGCCATGCAAACAAACGAAACAAGAAAGAATATAACTGCCTAGACTTTGTGACGCATGAATGATTCCTTCCAAGCAGAAGATAAATCACGTGTTTTGATCAATCAGTTAAGCAAATGACGAGTAAAAACTTTAAGTTATTGTCATAAATGTGATAAAGCATTCATTAGTTGTATAGAATACAATGAAACCAAGACGCAGACCTCTATGACTTCATCCATCACATCTTGGTCTAAATTCTTTGGTATAAAACCTACTCCAATCCCTTGAATCTTGTGAGGGCCTACAGTTTCAAATTGCAGATGCCAGAACAATACACAGTTTAACCTTGGAAAAGAAAGCATGCCATATTTGGCTTGTCATCTTACCAGGCTTTCCACCAGATAGTATGTTACTTTCTGACGGTTCCACACCAATAATCTGACGCAACATAGTTTTTGAAAAACTTCGATTTCGTAGGCAATATGGAAATGAGTTCATCAGTATTAAGCTCACATGTCTCTGTGCAAGCATCTATTTCTTGTTCGACTCTGCTCACCTTATTATCATTCGAACAATCCATTGTTAGATGATAATAGTATAAGGAAGAATGTGATTTAAAAATAGAATAAAGCTATAAAATTTTAAGTGAATTTAACCTCAATATTCTCTTGGCAAAACACATCTCTTTTGACTTCATGATTACAAAAGGAACCGGACGGAACCACAAAGACAGTGACTCACTCTGCAGGTTAGAAAATGCCAAGTAAATTAATGAACCAGCTCAGGCTATGAACTTAAGAATCAGAAGCAGGAGAGATTAAAGATATAACTCAAACCTTTATACAAAAAAATCGAAGAAACATATCAGTCAAGACTTTTATCAAACACTTAAACTTCTTTACAGTCTCCATCTGTGTGGAATGATGAATAAATCTATTGTAACTGAAATATACTCCAAGCATTTAAGACATACTCAAACCTTTATTTTTTAAAAATGGAAGAATTTGATAACTAATGCTGAAAGATGCAGTGGTTCTTCAATTAATAATCATAAAATAGAAAAATTACTTTTCCAAGTCGTGATTTAAAAAATAGCAAAACTATCAGTACAATTTATCATGAAATTCCATTAATATGTATCAAACCGGTCTTCTATATTGTTCAGTATTAACAATAAGCTAAATTTTAAGAAAAAATGATAACCCCAACCTATACCACATGGTGCAGAGTTTACCAAACGACTAACACTTCCATCATCTAAAAAGACTAAAAAATGGAACGGAAAACAGAACATTATATACAATTCGGCTATGGTGGAAGATAAAATAAATACGTCCCTACCTTTGCTTGCAATCCGGGCAATGCAGCCGATAAAATTGCACTCTGAATTGTTCAAAATCAACACTAAATTTGTTGATATAACTCACAATTTACATAAATGAAAAAGTATGTTAAATGCACCTGAGAAAAGCCAAGGAGGCCATAGAACGGACCATGTTTTATCATGCAATCTTCAATATAAGCAAGACATTCATCAAATTTCTCGTACTCGTTAAATTCCTGAAAAAATTTAGAATTGAATTAAACAAAGTTTATTAAGATTAATGCCAAAATATAAAAAGAAATAAACCTTATTGAACTGGAACCACTCGTAATACGGAGAATCAAAAATTCCTTTGACATCTGATTTGCCTCGACATGGAAAAGGAGTGTTGACAAAAACCAGATCCAATTTGTCGAGGACAGACTCCGGCCACTTTCCAGTGACTTGTTTATTGAAAATCTCGGCGCTGGTTTGAAATCCGTGAAGGCACAAGAATCTGAGTTTTCTCGGACTGCTAATTCCTTCACTTCCCATGCTTGAAATGAATGGCTGCTTGAATGCTATGCGTGTCCTTCTGCTTCATAGAAATGAAAGGTCTCAACGCAATTTTCACGTGTTTCCTCAAATTTAACCCTTTATTGTTGAGAACCCTTCAGATTGGAGGCCCTAAGCCCTTACCGTAAAGAGGAAAATCCACCAATTCCCAATTCCCACATCGGAAGTTTGTAACTTTGGCTATAGAAAGGAAAAGTTAAAATAGCTTCAAAACCTTCGTTCATAAATTCAATCAAAAAAATAATCTAAAATGTAATAATTGTCAAATAAAACTATCAAAAACTACAAACAAAACAAATTCAGCTAAAAGTAATATTGTAAAGCTCAGATCCATCTAGATCTAACAAACAACAGTTAAAACAACACTTAACTAATTAAAACAGATGTCTAGAAGTCTAGAACCATACAAGGCAGGTTTTTTACCTGAAACTCCTAATTTCCTTCGCAGGCGCAGCTGAATGGAAATGGAAGGGTAAGGGTTTGCACTTCGACTCAGTGAGTCAGTCTTTGCTGGTGTCAAAACCGACGTTGGATATTGGATTTGGAGTTTGGAGTGTTTGGACCATTTCCATTTGTTTTTGATTTTGGGCCTAATATTTTTAAACAAAAAGAGCCCCAACTGGATCCGGTCATCATCAACCCAAAGGAAAAAAAATTGGAACTTTTCATCATATCTTCTCCCCTTCCAGCTTCCGTCTGTAACTGCAACTGCTGCGCACCTGCCATTGCCAACCCGACGGCAACTTAACTTTCGGCGGATAATTGTCGTCAACTATGCTTGTTCTTAAGTTTCAAGGTTTTGGAGCAGGGTCGACTGTTGAACCCCACAAGTCATTGTCTTCACCTTTACTTATCTTTAATGTTGGGACCGGTGGCGGAAGTTTCTTTACTGGTGGTTTGTAGATTGGAACCTGTGGAGGAAGTGGCTTTACTGGTGTGGAGGAAGTTTCTTGTTTTTCAAAAGTTTTATATAGCGTAACTTCAGCAGGCAGAAGATGAATGGACACGGGGTGGATTAATTGCTACTTCATGGAATCAGTTAAATTTAACAGCGGAACAACAATTTCTGTTACTCTACCGTTTCATACACACTTATTATATAGAAAAGACAATGTCATATCAGAGCACATCTA